AGTGGCCCAGGGGTATTCTGGCCTCAGCTGCAGGTTGCCTTGCTTCCAGGCAGGAGCCCTGCATAGCGGCAGGTCAACTGAGACACCAAATCAGCAAGAGTACAATTATGCTAGCAACCTTTCCTGTACATTGGGAAGAGGTAGCTGCTTCAATAAGGGCCTCATAGGACGTCTTATTAACATTTTCATCCCAAGCTCTGGGAGAACACATACACACGTATATATACATATGTAAAGATATACATACACACACGTATGTGTGTGCATGTAAACGTATTTTTAACCACCAATCCTTGTCTTCCATCTGCCCTGTCTAGCTCTAACAGAAAGGCAGAAAAGGGAAGTGAGGGTAGACACAGACTTGAAGGGACATGACCTGCAGGTGAGCCTTGCAGGTTGATGGGCTTACGCAGAAATCCTCTCAAACCCACCCGCACTTGAGCCTGATTCCTGGGGTACCCCCACCTGAAGTCCTGTGTGGCTGGCAGAATAATGGCCCCCAAAGATGTCCAAAAAAGTACAACCAGAATGCTCTTTAGAAGCAAGGATGGCGAGATTATGTCTTACATACTTTGGGCATGCTGTCAGGAGGGATCAATCCCTGGAGAAGGACATCATGCTTGGTAGAGGGTCAGCGAAAAAGAGGAAGACCTTCAACGAGATGGATGGACACAGTGGCTGCAACAATGGGCTCAGGCGTAGCAACGACTGCCGGCTTGGTGCAGGACGGGGCGGTGCCTCATTCTGCTGCATACACAGTCGCTATGAGTTGGAACCGACTCAACGGCGCCTAACAAGACAACAACAACAAAGATGTCCAAGCCCTACTCCCTGGCCCGCGACTACGCCACCTCACACAGAAGGGACTCTGTAGACGGGATTAAGGTTCTAGACCTTGAGATGGGAGAGGATTCCGGATTATCCAGATGGGGCCAATGAGATCATTTAAGTCTTTAAAAGAGGAGGACCTTCCGGCAGAGTCAAAGACAGTGGGGAAGAAGAGGCAGGAGAGATTCAACCATGAGAGGGGCTCAATTCTTGTTGCTGGCTTTGAAGATGAAGGCAGTGTACGTCAGGGAGCCTCTAGAAGCTGAAAACACCCCCAGCCCACAGCCAGCAAGGAAACGGGGACCTCAGTCCTACACCCCATGGAACAGAATTCAGCCCAAACCTGAACGAGCCGGGAAGACGATTCTCCCCCAGAGCCTTCAGGTAAGATCCCAGACCACCGACACCTTGGTCCTGGCTTTGTGGGACCCGGAGCAGAGAAACCAGCTGAGCCTGCTGGGCTTTGACCTACAGAACTGTGTGATCATACATGTGTGTTATTTTAAGCTGTGGGGTTTGTGGTTGGAGCCCTGGTGGCTCAGTGGTTAAGAGCTTGGTTGTTAACCAAAAGGTCACCCGTCCAAATCCACAAGCCGCTCTTTGGAAACCCTATGGGGCAGTTCTACTCTGACCTGTAGGATCACTATGAGTCAGAATCAACTTGATGGCAAGGGGTAAATTTATGGTTATTTGTACAGCAGCAATAGGAAACTAATGCAGCCGGGCACACGCTGGAGTGGGGCTGCCTCTGAAAGGCCTTGGTCTGGAGGCCTCAGGTAGATGGGGCATCTGTAGGCATCAGGAGTCTGCTGTGCAGGTGGGGCAGACTGGGACTGGGGCATGCAGCCCCTGGGCCCCTGAGTGAGCGGAGGAGATGCTGGGGAAATGTTAGCAGGGGCAGAAAGAATCTGCCTGTTGATGAAAAGGGCCAGCACCCAGATATGTCAACACTATTTGGAAAGGTGGTGGCTGAGATTTTTATGAGTTTTCAAAAACTGGGCCATAGGGAAAACTCTTTACCTGGGAATACTTTTTAGAGGGAAAATAAATTAAAATTTGCTCTGGACTAAATAAACAGGAGCAGTTCTCTTCTTTCCTCCCATTTCCACATGAATAGTTTCTCTAGCAAAATCAGCATGCTACCTCGAATACACTGCCACTCTATTTCTATAAATCGGCAACTTTGTCTATTCCTCTTATTGGGGAACACAATGCTGATTACACAGACTACCAGCGTAGCTCAACCACGATAATGAGCTGACATGGGTGTTGTAAGGGAAGGTTCTGGAAGAGCCTGCCTGTCACACAGACAGTCACAAAAAAGAAGCATCTCTGAAACCACCCCTGCTATGCATTTAAGCAACGCTTTGGAGTCACGTGCTCTCATGTACATCTATCTAATTGGTTTTGTCAGCATATCATTGTCAAGTACAGAGTGGTTGACTATTGCGGATCAAGAAACTGAGACACAAAAGAGTTAAGCACTGGCCCTAGACCTCATAATTAATCATGGTGGAGCAGGAATAAGAAGAATTTACCCCAGGCCAGGACTTCGCAGCTGGTCCTTCCTTGAGAACGCTTCTGGGGTTATGACACTGTGGGATCCAAGAGCTGGGAGGTCTAGAGTGAGGTATCACGAAGGCCTGGCAGCCTCAGAACCAACTACCATACAGTTCCTCCTGGTCCAGGGGCAAGGGCTGTTCCTGACAGCGAAGCCCCGGGGAGACGCACAGCACAGCAGATGTCCTCAGGCCCCAGGGATGCAAAGCAGCTGAAATCACCCAGGCTTTGAATCAGCCTTTGTCATCAGCGGGGAGGCGTTCCTCCCCCTGCCTCTAGAGGCTCCTGGGCATTGATACCTGCTGTCTGAGGGCTCAGCGGCCTCCGGCACAGGGCACGCAGGTGCCAGGGGAGGGGGAGGCAGCCTTGATGCCACATCTTTTCAGCTTCGGAAAACATTCCAGTTGGCCATCCAGAATACAATTCCGGTTCTGAGGCATTATTTATACAACTTAATATGACCAGCATGTTTTCATGATGTAACCAATTTCCTGAAAGGATTAGACAAGCCTTTCTTCAGGGGAAAAAAAAAAAGACAAGTCTTGGCCGTAAGATGATGCCAAAGCAAATTCCTGGAAAATTACAGAGAGGCAATGGGGCTGGGAGGATGTCACCCCGGAAGGTCAGGGAGGAGGGTGGGGTGGCATTTCCCGCTGGACCTTTCTTAGCAGCCACAGATGAGAATTCATTCCCATGCCACCTTTCCCTTCTAGCTAACTCTAGCTTGCCTTAGCATTAATAGAAGACAGGATGTACCTACAGAATTCATTCTCCAACTCCCCTTTGTACTTCACCCATATAGCCCTGCCCCCTTCCACAACACAGATTTGCATGAAAAAGATATTAGCTGACCATAGAATCTGTGGACTCCTCGAGTGGTGCAAATGGTTAAGTGCTCGACTACAAGCTAAAAGGTTGGTGGTTCGAAGCCACCCAGAGATGCTTGAAAGAAATACCTGGGAAGCTCCTTCTGAAAAATCAGCCATTGAAAACCCTATGGAGCACAGTTCTACTCTGACACACACGGGGTCACCATGAATCGTAACTGACTGGACGGCAACTAACAATGACATAGAATCTGTACTCTTAAACAGCATTCTATGCTGCCCATAAACACAAAGCTACCAGAAATGTACCTTGTTCATACGTACCTATAGGTAACTAGGTACCTACATAAACATACCTGCTGCTGTTGAGTCGATTCCAACTCCCAGCGGCCCTATGGGACAGGTAGAAATCCCCCATAGGGTTTCCAAGGCTGTCATCTTTACAGAGGCAGACTGCCACATCTTTCTCCTTCGGAGCGCGACTGGTAGGTCCAAATCATTGACCTTTCGGTTAGCAGCCAAGTGCTTACCCCTGAGCCACCAGGGCTCCTACATATACATACCTATATGTAAATAGATATGTAGGGCCATATTTATTTTTAAATCTATCTATTCGATACCCTACCCCACACTGGCTCCCAGGAACCATGGGCTTATTTTAATAACAGCATAATATGTACATCTTATTAAAGTTCTTGTTTAAAAATTCTTTACCACAGATGACAATTACTCCTCGGAGCAATGCGGACTTCGAGTCCAGTCCACCTGACATATGAAGAAGGAGAGCTGGATCACAGATCGGGACGGAGCTGGGTCAGCGGGTCCAGCTGGCTGACCCCACAGCAGTTAAGAGGAAAACCTGGGGGAGGGGGGTGAGGAAGCAGTGGGAGCCCTTAAGCACTTAAGGCATGAACATTTTCCTTTCAAGAAATTCAAAATACAATGGCCATGCCTATATATATTTTTTTGGGAGGATGGGAAAAAGTCCTCATTAACCCAAATGACCTGAGATTGAGTCATCTTTAGTCCATTGCTGGAAATAATAGAGGTTATATGTACTCCTGAAGGAAGTCCAAACTGTAACCCCTGACAGAATGCACACAGAGCGGCCAGCTGAGTTCCTACCTCGTGATTGCAGACCAAGAAGTGGACCCACATGTGGCAGCCCATAACACTGCATGTAGAACTCCTGCTGATCAAAATGAAATCAGACGGAACTCACAGCCATAACCATAACCAAAAACCAGTTGCCGCTGAGTCGATTCAGTTTCGACTTTTGGCGATCCCATGTGTTTCAGAGTAGAACTGCGCTCCATAAAGTTTTCAATGGCTGAGGTTTTGGAAGTAGACAGCCAGGCCTTTCTTCCAAGGTGCCTCTGGGTTGACTAGAACTGCCATCCTTCTGGTTAGTAGCCTAGTGCTTAACCATTTATACCATCCCGAAGTTCCTCTCACAGCTGTACTTCTCCCCAAACCAACCTGACTTCACACAAACCAGTGCTGGGTTCTTAGGCGGAAAAGAACTCATACTTGTTTTCAAGGTGAAACGTACTTCGATGTAAACAAAGTGAAATGAGTCACATAGCGGGGCTCAAGTATTCAGATGCTGTTACTTATACAAGTGAATATGAGGGAGCGCACTGGATGCTTTACAAAACCCAAAAGAATAGAATTTATGAGGAGAAAAACCCAGGCAGGTGCGGAGGTCGGGGAGGGAAGGGAGGAGAGGGCGCTGAAACACTCAGCACACGAACGTGGGGAACACAGCGCACCCAGAAAGGATATCTCGCGGGGCTGTCCTTAAGAGCATTTAGGAATCCTGTTTGTTGGGAACCTGTGGGAATGAAACCAAAATTTAGTATTCAAACATTCACCTCCAGAATCAACAGTGTGCACGCTGAAAGCACCCTTATCTACATAAAGACAACAGGTGCCTAAAAAGCAATTAAATAATTATATTTTGTAAATGCTACGGCACCCAGTTTAGTGATCAGAGATTGAGATTCCACTGAAGTTATTCAACAAGCAAATGGCAGATTCATAATTACGCCCAACATCTGCAGGATATGTTTTCAATAAAGGCAGATGGGTGTCTGCATACTTTCCCATACATTATCGTTCTCATTACTCCTTTGTTTTCCTTGTTTTAATAGGAAAACAGAACACTGGATGCTATTCTTCCCCCACCCCCCTTCTTCTTTTATGAAAGACTGTTTCCTCAAAGTTCGTTAACTTTCGACCCTGGCAGTCCTATAAACTTAGGCTACACAGGAAAGCCTTCTCTCTCTGCTCCCAGAGTAAACAAGCTCATAAACCTAAAGTTTATTACTGATTCCTTTTGGGTTGAAGACATTTTAATACGAGCTCTCTGGGCAAGAAAACATTTCTTCAGGGGCTTGAGTAAAAATGCATCTGACAAGAAGAGATTTGTGTTTTGTGTTGGCGTTATGCTTTTTAGAAGTCAGAGCCAGTGTGGAGGACTCTTAACGGTGCCATTGTGGGGGCATCACAATGTGCTGTGCTGTGAGGCTGGCCTGCTTCAGGGGACAGGGCCGCCCTCGTGCAGCAATGCAATGAACGACGAGCACAGGCAGAGGGCGCTGTTTCTGCTGCATCTCCGCAGTGTGTTACTGTTGGTTTGGCTGCAGCTTGGGAGCCACCAGCAGGGTCCCGGACCCTCCGTGTAATGCAAACAGGGGCAGACTGCGGGAAGGTTAAGAGCAGGTTGGCTCCATGTTCCTCCTTGAGCTCCCCCTTCCCTCTGTGCCCATGTCCACCACCGAGGCACACAGACTTGCCCTGGGGTGGGATGAGGCTCCAGGAAGTGACAGCAGAGGAACTGTGCGGAAAACGAATAAGGCGAGGCACTGTTTAAAGTTCTCTCCCATCTCGGCCAGGCCAGCGGGGCAACACCAGCGAGTGGACATGCTGAGCTCTGAGAGGCAAAACTGGACACTAAAGAAATGCTCTCTTCCCTCCTGGACCCAAATTGCATTGCTTCCCTGAACTCTCCTTCTCTACAAGGAGACTTCCTCTCTCCAGGTTGGTTAAGAGCTCAGCTGCTAACCAAAAGGTCAGCAGTTCGAATCCACCAGCCACTCCTTGGAAACCCTATGGGGCAGTTCCACTCTGTCCTACAGGGTTGCTATGAGCTGGAATCGACTTGACAGCACCAGGTTTGGGAGTTTGGGAGCTATCTTTGAGGAAACAGAATTCTCTCCCTAGCCTCCCCTCTTTGTCATATCTCCCCCACTCAGAGCCATTACCTGGCAGGGAGAACCCAGGTAACCGTTCTCCAGGTGTTCCGAACAGCTCTGGCCTTGGTTAGTATTTTCTGAATCTCAGGGGGATGACAGGAACCATGTAAAAACTTCGGCCCTTCCTGAAAGTATCACATGCCAAGAGTAGCGGGGATTGGGGGGGTTGTCTTACAGGGGACAGAACAAGCCCAGTGGGGATGGTGGGGTTGTCTTATGCGGGACACAACAAGCCCAGCGGGGATGGGGGGGTTGTCTTATGGGGGACAGAACAAGCCCAGCGGGGATGGGGGGGTTGTCTGATGGGGGACAGAACAAGCCCAACGGGGATGGGGGGGTTGTCTTACGGGGGACAGAACAAGCCCAGCGGGGATGGTGGGGTTGTCTTACGGGGGACACAACAAGCCCAGTGGAGATGGGGGGGTTGTCTTACAGGGGACAGAACACGCCCAGTGGAGATGGGGGGGTTGTCTTATGGGTGACAGAACAAGCCCAGCGGGGATGGTGGGGTTGTCTTATGGGTGACAGAACAAGCCCAGCGGGGACGGTGGGGTTGTCTTACGGGGGACAGAACAAGCCCAGTGGAGATGGGG